GATTTATAGAGTTCCAATTTCAGCCAAGACCTCATCTGTGTAAGCCTGCTCCTCCCTAGAGTGGGATTTTCTTTCTAATCCTGACCAAAACTGTCCTAATTCTACTTATTAATAGGGCTAAAGAAACTCATTTGCTGTGCTTCAGCCCAGAAGGTCACTGGCTGGGGGCCAGCCACCTGCATCCTAGGAAGATCCACGTTGTATGTAAAGCATAGGGAAGAGCTTTCCCTAAAGCTCCTGGGGCTGGGAACCACAAAGGCACAGGAATGAACACAGCCAAACTAGCTATCTTCAACAGCAACCCAAGCTCTAAAAAGCTGCAGGGATATGCTTGAGGGTCATTTGCACACATCTGTTAACCAGAGACATGCTTTGGCACTGAGCTGCTTTCAGTGCTTCAGCACGCTCCTTGAGCTTTAGGATCACTGATGGCACTGTGATGCCAGCACCATGTCCAGTTTGATGTCACCAGTATGAGACTGGGATGTGCTGGGACAGGGACTGGGTTGTGAAGGTGACAAAGAGAGTGGGGCAGCTGGCACAAGAGGGGAGACAGGGAGAGGGGGAGCAGGTCAGCCACAAGAAGGTTCAGTGGGATTGTACCAGCCTGTATACCAGTGGTGACAGAGAGAAGAACCCAGCCCTTTCTCAGTGGGACACAAACCAAACCACAGCAAATTCCACTCAAATACTTTGTATAGAATGAGGTTAAACAGACTGCAGGATCTGGACTGGATGGACTCCAAAGCTCCCTTCCAACCCCTAGAGATCTCCAGACCCATAGGGAGTCTGTCCCAGCATTCTGCTCCACTGACCCTGGAAAATCCACTTCTCTACAGGAGCCAGCTGCCTCCTCACTCCCTATAGTGAGGCAGACAGGAAAAGCTCCCTCCCACCAGATCTGACAGCTCTGTCTTCCCAGAAGCTGTCCTTCCCTTTGCCCAGGCTATACCTACACCATAATTCCTCCTTCAGCTCCCCCCAGCTCCAGATGACAGTAGACAGTACAGCAGAGCTCTCCCCCCAGTCACAGTGGGGCACACACACACTTAGAGAACATAATTTTGCACTGCAGAATTTGAAGCTGATTTATCTTTTGCAAAATGACAGAAGCCTAGCATACAGTGGAGATGAGAACTTCTTCCAGAAGGGATCACTCCTCACGAGGTATTCCAGCCAAGCACCATCCTTACAGCTCATTCCTACATTATAGCTGAAGTTGCTTTGCAATCATTTACATCCTTGAGAGTGAGATTTCTTAGAGCAGAAAAGGATTTCTGAGCAAGGAAACATTGTGTACTGAGCACCACCCACACCACTGATCCCATCACACTGCACACAGCTCATAGGCATCACAGCCTTTACAAAGCCCTCCGGGGAGGACCAGGAGCCATGTTTCCTTCCCTGCACAGGGCAATGAGCACAATTCTTCTTATTTAACTAGAGATTAAGCACTATGGGTAAACCATAACAGGCCCCAACTCCTGCAGCATCCCACAGCCTCCAGCTGGAAGCTCTGCTGCCACCTCCCGAGGCCCCACTTACTGCAGCATCCTCAGCTGAGACAGCACCAAAAATAGTGCATTCCCCCACACTTATGTCACCAGAACCGCAGGAAAGATTCATCCTTCACACAGAGGTTCAGGCTTTGTTTCCCCTACATAAATAACGCAATAAAACGGGTCTGAGCAGCAGGGAAAGAAACACAAACGTAAATCGATGAGATGGAGCAGCGCTTCCACCCCACGACGACGACACGAAAGGCCCAAAGGAGCGGCCCAGCCGCCTGTGCAGGCCGCACCCCCAGCCAGCCCCGCTCTCACCTTTTTGCCTTTCTTGCCCTCCTCCTCCATGGCTCCGGGAGCAGCGGCTGCAACGGCGGCCCCGGCCCCCTCCGGGGCATCCCCGCAGCGGCCCTGGGGCGGCGGGGTGAGGCTGCGCGGGGCCGGGAAGAGGCAGAGCAGCCCCGGGAGGCGGTCGGATGCCGGGCCGCCTCAGCTCCGCCGACCACTTTTCAATCCTGCCGCCATCTTGGGCGGCGGCTTCCCGGCGTGCCCCGCGCGGCGCTCGGAGGACTGACGTCAGTCCTCCTCCCGAGGAGAAGTACTGCGCATGCGCCACTCGGCCCGCGGTCACCCCACGGCTTATCTGCATAACCACGCCCACTCGGGGGTGCTGATCCCTCCTCTGCGCGTGCACGTTGTCTGCTTCCCGCCTCTCACCGCAAGGGGGCGCCGCCCGCCGCCGCGAGGAGTGCTGACGTCATTCATCGGCGACCGCCCTCTCGAAGATGGCGGTGATGGCGGGTAGGTGTGCGGTGCGGTGCCGTCTGTTGCTATCCGCCGCCATCCGCCGTCTGGCGGGTCTGGGAGGCGCGGTGGAGGCGTACGAGAGGTGGATTTCTTTGAACACTGCTCACCTCAGTCATCTGGGGTGCGATATGCGCGAGGAGGGGTGGGCTCGGGCTGTCTGGGTCTGCACCGTGGGGCCTGGGTGTGTTCTTAGGCCTGGTCCTGGGGACTATGGCCTGGTGGGTCAGCCGTGCCCGAGGGGTGATGCGGCTGTATCCGTGCACGTGCGAGGGAGCCCACGTGGATCCCACGGCGACACCGAGCGTCTGCACGATTATTAGCGATTGCTAAGCGATCCCAGTCCTTAGAGAAAGCAGTTGTGTCTTAGAGCTGCTCCTCCTGACTCACGCTGTTTTCTCCCCACAGCATCCACCACTTCTTCCCTTATGTTTCCTGTGCTGCGTGCCTCGGCCCTAAAGGTACGAAAGGGGAACGTTGGAATACTTGCCTTCAGCTGTGTCCCGCAAGGCTTCCAGCATGGTGGGGCCTGCTGTGGCCCCATCCATTCCTGCAGCGCTTGCCAGAGCAGCCCTGGGGTGGTTTGAGGCCTTCTTCTGTCTCTCAGGGGGAGGCTATAGAAACTCCATACACTCTGTCCCCCAGCTCCTGTTTCTCTCCTGGACTTGTAGAGCTGCTTTATTCCTTCCTCTGTTCTCTGGGGGGTTGGACTCGATGATCTCTGGAGGTCCCTTCCAACCCCTACAATTCTGTGATTCTATTTTGTAACAATACCGTTCTTCTCAGCTTGCAGTTCTCCTGCCTGATGGTCGAGACGGACACCTGATGCTGCAGGGAGCAGGCAGGTATGTTCACTCGGTGGCTCTGCAGGGGTTTTTTCATTCTGCCATGATTAGTCATACTTTGCATAATCAAGTAGCTTCAGTGCCTTGTTTCCTCTTTGGCCCTCATCAATGAGTCCCTCAGGGCTGAGAGCTGCAGCACAGGGATGCAGCTGGGCTACTTCCTTTCCTGCAGCTAATGGGGCAGTGATGTGAGGCCATGTGCTCTGAAGCTCTTCTCCCTTTGTTGCAGTGTTATGCACTCCCTGCTCTGCCTACTCCATTGCTAGGTGCAGTGAGTGCAGATGGCTGCAGGGCTTCCCCTCAGCCCTTCTCCAGCAAGGCTTACTCACCACACACTGCAGGTCTCTCTCATTGCCACGAACCTCCCAGCATAGTATGGCTAATAGGATTGTGGACCCTCAGGGCAGCACTCACCCTGCCTGCTCTTTCACTCACTGATACTTCTGCCACAGGTCTTTAAATCCTGGTTGAAAGGAGTGCTACCTCTGATGGCTCCAGCCCTGTCTTGGGGTTTCTGCTGGGCCCCACAAAGCTGCCTGCAACTGCCACTCAGTTCTTTGTGCTGAAGCTGTGAAGCTGCATCTGAAGCTGCATTTAGAAGAAGTGTGAGGTCACGGGTGATGCTCTGCTGGATCACATGAAGGTAAGACAAGCCTAGGGGCTTCCTGAGTGCTTCAGTTCACTCTACAAATAGGATGTACACCAGAGACAAGAGTAAAAGCCACCTGAGTGGGGCTGCAGGCCAATGAAACCTCCTTGTCTCTGTGATTAATGCAGCTCTTTGTGCTTTATCTTCAGGTGAAACGGTGCTGAGTGCCCAGCATGAAGTGTGCGAGCCCAGTGCAGCTGGGAACCCTGGGTGAACAGCCACAACTGGAAGTCCCCAACTTGCCTGTGTGCTCTGCGGTGCGGTGAGGAGCTGCTCAGCACAGGATGGGCCCACAAGAAGTTTCCTGAGGAAGAGGAGAGGATTTGGGTGCATTTCTCCAGCCTTGGAACAGGACTCAGCAGTGGGGGCTTCTGCTCTCCAAAGCACCCAGTGCTGATGAGGAGTGTTGGCTGCGTACTGATATTTTAGGGGTACAGTTGCTTGTATTTACTGCTGTACAAGCACGTGTCGCATCAATAAATACAAATCTCTGGTGTTTTCACAGCTGTAGGCTCCTGTTGTTGCTCCTGGATAGGGAAACGTGGGCTTGAGGCCAGGCATCTGTGCTGCTGCACCTCGTGGGGTTTCTGTGAGCCCATCGGCACCGCAGTGCTGTGCCCTGAGGGCTGGCGGTGAGAAAGCTGCATCCCATGGAGAGGACATTGGGTTTTGGTGCCTGTGGGGCAGGGATATGTCCTCGGGGGACCTGCCCTGGGCTGCTGTGGTCCTTACTGGGCTCTGTGCCCAGGGTGTGGTGCCAGCAGTTCACCCTGGCTGCACCGTGCTCAGCATCCTGAGCAGCACCGTGTTTGGTGCACGCAGTGGCTGTCACGGCTGTCACTGCTGTCTCATCAGCCACTGTGTGGGTGGAGGCACCGACCCACAGACTTGCAGCTTTCAGGGTGCTGCGGTGTGGGGCCGGATGAATGACTGTAACGTCGCTGCTACGGCGCTGCGTGCGTCCCTGGCTCGTGTCCCAAGCCCCTGTGGATGATCCCACTGCGGGCACATGGAGGTGCAGACTCCTCTATAGGACTGGTGCCCGAGTGCTTTGGAGTGTGGGGACAAATTCCCCACCCTGCCCTTCTGTGTGTCTCCTGTCACCACCCCGCTGTTCCCCATGGGAGGTGACAGTAGGGCTGGGCCCCACGTCCCGCGCGCCTGCGCCGCTGCTTGGGCGGGCAGAGGTGCAGGAAGCAGCACGGAGGGGGGAAGTGGTGCTTGTGAGTGGTGGGCGCAGCATGGCGGAGCTGGAGGGCCCCGAGTTTGGCAAGGCTGACTTTGTCCTGCTGGATGAAGTCACCATGGAGCACTTCATGGAGAACCTGCGCCTGCGGTACGGGGATGCAGGGCGAGGCAGGATGGGTGGGGTGAGGTTGGGATGGGTGAGATAAGGATGGGCGAGGCCGAGGCAGGGTGGTGCAGCCAGGATGCAGTGCTCAGCAGCATGGTGATGGGGATATCACCAGCCCTGGGGACCCTAAATCCTTGGTGTAGGTCAAGGAATGGTCCTGAGGTGCAAACCCTGACCCAAAAGGAAACATCTGTGCTGGGCAGCGCCCTGCTGCTGGTTGAGGGAAAGGAAGGCACGGCCCTGGAGCTGAGTGGGGGGTGTCTGGGTGGGCGTTGGGTTGTGTGTGCGTGACCGTGCACAACAATGTGTCTATCTGTCCTGGTGTGTGTGCCACCCTGGTGCCCTGCACTTCCTGCTTGCACCCATGGGTGCTGCCTACAGGAAGAGCTGCTCCCCTCGTGCCCTGTATAGCCCTACAGCATGAAGCACGGGGACGCACCTTGTCCCACTGCCACCCCTGTGTGCAGGTTCTCAAAGGGCCGTATCTACACCTACATCGGAGAGGTGGTGGTGGCCATGAATCCATACCGGGCTCTGGAGCTGTACGGCCCCTCTGCGGTGGAGCAGTACCGGGGCCGTGAGCTCTACGAGCGCCCACCGCACCTCTTCGCCTTGGCTGATGCTGCCTACAAGGCCATGAAGCGCCGTGCCAAGGACACCTGCATCGTCATCTCAGGTAAGGGACAAGTGAAGGGCACCCCTCTGTGCTGGGTGCCAATGGGTGCACACCTTGCCCGTTTCCTGCCTCTGCCAGGTGAGAGCGGGGCTGGCAAGACGGAGGCCAGCAAGTACATCATGCAGTACATCGCAGCCATCACCAATCCAACGCAGCGTGCCGAGGTGGAGAGGTGAGTCCAACCCAACGGAGAATTGGGTGATTGGGCACAGATCTGTCATTCGGGGTGTCCCCAGGGGGGCATTGTGCCCATTGGGGATGATATGGGGAGCTGGGGAAACCCATGGACACAAAGGTGTTGCATCCTGCATCCATCGGCTTCAGAGCTGGGGTGCTGCACTGTGCAGTGCCACACCTTCATGCCATGGCACAACTTCATGCCTTGGCACACCTTCATGCCATGGCACACCTTCATGCCATGGCCCACCTTCATGCCTTGGCACACCTTCATGCC